CTCGCCGCCGAAGTGCATCGGTAGTTTGACCAGTCGCCCTACGTAGAGGATCTTGCTGCTTGTAAAGAAGTGGTGTGCCGGCGTACCCTCAGTACAGGGTATGTTCGGAAGTATTGGGGCGCCTATCAAAGTGCCTGTAGACCCAGTATCCACGGGCATCTTGATGTCAACCCCTTCGACGCCACACATGACTTGTGGCACATGTTTGGGGTTCAGATTGTACATAAATGGAATGAAGATCGAGTCCGTACGTCGTGTTGATTTGGTGTCCATTGGGCGTAACGTAGCTAGTTCGTTGTACATAGCGAAGAAGGCGAGGCTAGCGACTAAGATCAATACGCGCGAGAAGAGTGTTGAACACTTCCGCTTTGGGTGTGTGAACGTTGAAGATGTTGCAGTTGGCGCGTGAATTCCAGATGGCGATCGCGTTCTATAGACCTCGGTCTTCATGGCTGTAAACAGATGCAGAGACCACCTGCACCATCCGCTGGCAAACGCCTGACGCACGCTAAGTTCGCGCGTCAATGTCGCGTCCAAGGAGTCAACAGCGTGACACTTGATGGGAAATGTGTACAAAGCGGTGTCGAGTCATTCAAAAAGCACAGTAATAGCGCGCCGACGTCAACGCCGCCCGGGCGCGCTGTGAGTTGGCGTACCTCTGTCCCCGCAATACCCGGATCCCCAGGCACGTACTCCAACCCAGCAATCTAGACTTCGGCTCTTCTGCTTCCATCACCATCATTCAGTCAGATGTCAACTTTTCCATACTTTCACGAATATATGGCTCACGAATCGCGAGATGCCGATCATCACGTGTGCTCATGCACGTCGCAGCCGGGGATGTTCTTAGCTCGAATTAGGCCTGTGGCTGAGTGTGACCATCCACCGCCCTGAAGGCAGTACGACCGCAGACTGAAGGACAGGAGCACTCTAGCTGAGAATGGCTTTCGACGACCTACCCGATCCCCTCTATCGACCTTGATACGTCCTCCGTCTCATCTCCAATCGAACGAATATCCGCCCTCGTACTCCAACCACCGCCCGCGAACAAAGAGTCGTCGCAGCCAGAGCATGTAGCCAACATGGGTCGCTCACCATCACGATCCAGCGATGGAGCTGATTCCGCGCAAAATGCGCGCGTCGAACCGCGTCTCCTAAAGGCCATCGAGGACAGTAAACACGACGATGCGATCGCGATCATCGAGCATGCGAAAGCGAAGTCGCAACCCGTCGACCACCTCCTGCGCATAGGCTTGATGCGCGCAGCCGAACGCGGAAATATCTACATCACCGAATACCTGCTCAAGAGCGGCGCGAAGCCCGACGGCGCACCGGGTGGCCGAGTCTCGCCTTTGTTCAAAGCGATTGAGAAAGAGCGTGTCGACATTGTACGACTGCTGTTGAAGTTCGGCGGCAACGTGGATGCGCAAGACAAGCAGGGACGGACTGCGCTGATGACGGCTGCATGGAAGAACTACTACCACATCATGCAAGAACTGCTCAGGTATGGTGCTGACGTCAACAAGAAGGACAACACTGGGCGGAACATATTACACAACTTGGCGGCAGACAAGCACTGCAACTGGGGACGCGATGTCATCGCGGAGCTGTTGAAGCAGAATATCGCGATCGACGGACCAGAGGGCCAGGACGACCAGAAGCGCAGCCCGTTGCATTGGGCTGCTAGTACCGGCAAGAAGGAGCTATGCGAGATGCTCTTGCGTCGAACGAGATTGCCGAGAGCGAATGTGAACGCGGTGGAAGTCAGGCAGAAGACGGCACTACATCTGGCAGTCGCACACGGGCGAGACGACATCATTGAGCTGTTACTAGTCAACGGGGCAGACGTAGGCGCGCAGAGTGACGGAAGCTGGACGCCCCTCCACAATGCTTGCGACCAAGGCAGTGTAAAGGTGCTGAAGATACTCCTGGCTGCCGGAGCGGACGTCAATGCGCGAACACTCAACGGGACGACACCTTTACACGTCGCGGCGCAAGCTGGTCACTTTGACGTAGTCAAGTGTCTCTTGGAAAGGGGAGACATCAAACGAGCGCCGAAGGATACATTTGGTATCACGCCGTTCTTGCGCGCTGCGCAGAGCAAGAAACCTGCGCGCAAAGATATCATCAATGCTCTGGCACCCCACAACCAGGTCGAAGCGCTCAGCGAAGACGCCCTTGGCGCTACAAACGGGTTCCATGCTACTATTGTTGACTTTGGCAACTTCCACAACGAGAACAAGGTCTCAAGAAGGACTGTGTTCGAGCTTTTGTATGGCCGCGATCCCATCAACCCAAGAAAGCCAGCTGTTGCGATTTTACCCAAGGAGTCAAAGGCGACAACCTTCCGATGGATACATCTCCCTGCCAACAACATGGCCTGGGTTGAGGCGCTGCTCACAAAAGCGTTCATCGAGGAGGGTGCCAGCGATGTTGAAGGTTTCAAGGCGCTTGAACGGTCTTTTAGTCATCAGCATCGAGGACAGCAGATTCATTCGCATTTCATGCGACCGCTCTGTCAAAGCACACCACGTGCACCAAAACAACACGATGATTCCGACCTTTCCGACGGCGCTGATTTCATCCCCCAGATTCTGGTGAATAGCGGTACGGGCTTAGGTATCGATGCGGTAGCTGGTTCACAAGAACTCCCAACGTCACAATTTCCTCGCACGCCTGTGCGGACCAGTACCGTGGATACAGACTATACGGATGGGACTGCGGGAACCGGCTCCGGACCTACAACTGTCAAGGAAGGAAAGGGTAAGGCAAAAGATAAATCGAAGAAGCAACCGAAGTGGAGTGGATCGAGACAAGCAGGCAAACGATCAGGTGGGACGGACACACCAACCCGAGGTCCAGAACATCAGGCGAAACGAACGCATACTAGCTCCTCTCTCAACAATAGTGGCTATCTCAGGTCACCCGGCAGCCCGGGAAGAAAAGACCCAACGACCGTAGCGAAGGGCAATATCTTTTCCTTCATGCCATACCTACATTTCGAAACCGATCGGCGGCGGCAAGAAATGCAGGCTGCGATCTCGAGGACGCAGAAGATGAAAGAGCGGGAGAAGAACGAGGGTGCCACTTCCAAGCCACAGTATTACCGTGCATCAACTTATGACGAGATGCTGTTCAGGGCTCACTTAACATCCTCACAAGTTTCGCTGCACGTGCGACGCACGCTCGACCAGTTCTTCTACCACAATATCGACACGCAATCCCGAGATCGAGACCAAGTCGTCTATCGATATCAATGCAAGTCGAACGAGCCGCAACATGTTGACCCGAAAATCTTCATGGTCGATCAGCTGTGGATGTGGACGCTTGGCAAAGACTTGATCGTGACAGCCTTCCCTCAAAGATGGCAGCAGCCTCGCAACGACCCGCTCAACGTCCTGGATGGAGTCATTGAAGACATCAATAGCAAGACAAGAGATCCGGTGCGTAGCGTGTACGATCTTGCCATGATCATCACCGGTCGGTGTAGTGGCGTGTTCGACAGACATCGCGTTGGCGACGAAGACTATCAGTTTCTCGACATGTTCGAATCAAGCATCGGTGATGCTACTGAGATGGAAACCATGCTTTTTAAAGAATTCAACACGGCGTCCGCTCAGGCCTCGGCTTGGCTACAACATCACCGCCGGCCCAATCGCTTCTCTAGACATTTAGAAGCCGAGGGAAGGCAAAGGGAACACCTGAATCGCCGGCACACATCACATCATTCACATTCTCACTCTCACGCGTTGACTGACCCTCCAGTGCCGGAAGAGGCATTCGACTACGGTGACAGCGATCGAACGGCCGCCCATGCCCCGCTTTTTGTCGATAAACTACTGGATATTGGCGCGGAGACAGACCTGCTGGCTGAGACGAAAGACATTCGCGACGAGCTCAACATGATCTCGAAGGTGCTCGAAGATCAACGCACCATACTACCGGACATGGAGACGAGCATCACAGACATATATCGTGAAGAGCACAAGAGTCAACAGGAGCTGAAGAAGCGATTCAAGGATATGACGAAGACAGTAGACACACATATCAAGGATCTCGAACGCATGGACAAGCAAGCCAAGCGCATCTACGAATCCATCACTGACCTCCTCGATCTAAAGCAGAAGCACGCCAACGCATTCGAGGCGCGCTTCGCCCGCGACCAAGCTGCCGGTACTGCCAGACAAAGCCAGACCATCATGGTGTTTACCATTGTCACCATCATCTTCCTCCCTCTATCCTTCATCGCAGCCATGTTCACAATCAACATCCAAGAATTTCCGCATCGGCCCGGTAGCGACGAGCCTTCGCTTCCTCTCTCATTCGTCAGCAAGTACATGTTCGGCATCGGCTTCGCTATCTCCATCCCGTTCATCGCCATCGCGCTTTCATTCGACGCCATCGGAGACTTCTTCCGCGAAGTCAAACGCCGCTTCCGCGAGCGCAAGGCCCAGAATCGCCAGAGCCGGCATGATTTCAACGACGCTTACAGCGGTATCGAGAAGACAGACTTTGAGTACCCCTTCGACACGCGCACTATCGAACAGGCTCTGAGTCGCGGGCGTAGTACGGCATACCGCCCCGACGGCAGGCGCAGCATCGAAAGTTATCTCGGCAGTGCGAGGGCGAATCACTGGGGTGATGGCGGCTCGTTGCTTCCGGTTGCTAGTCGCAGCACGGGAAGGAGTCCCGAGAAGGGTGCTGTGAGGATTACGAATGGCTTGAATGGCACGACTGCGATGGCTAACCGGTTGAGTGTGGATAGGGCTGAGAGGCAGAGTCCGATTGAGAGGATTAGTACTGGGTTTAGGATGAGGGGGAGTGGGGATTTTGAACGCAAGTAGATGGGGTGGTGTTGGGAAGGTTTGGGAAATGAAGATACCCTGGCGCTGTTATGTACCGTTGCTGATGAATGAATAAGACGCATTAAATTTTACGTTTTCTTTGCTTATATGGCGTGCTTGGTTCAACGCGGTCGGGCTACCACGAAAAGACCGAATATGGTTCGGTACATGCTCATCATTGGGTGGATGAAGGAGAGATGTGGGGATGACGGCGGAGGCGATGGTACTGTGATGGGACATTGACGACCAGCCGCACACGCTTGCCGAAACACATACTATACTCGTAGGAAAGAATCATCGATAGAAAGAAGTGTCGCAAGCTCCGGGAATTCAGGCTGTCAGTGGTCAGGGTAGGTGTGCCTGTCTGCCGAGTTTGCTCTGTGCCAGGGCCCCTTCCGAGTTCCTTCGCTCGGAATTGTCTCCCGGCTCTTCCCATTTCAACTTTTGAACCCTCTCAGTGTACTTTACATCGAATTATCGCAATACTCCGATATGTCTACAACCAGCCCTGAGACAACTGGAGCCTATGTTGCTACCGACAATGAGCCTGCGGATAGCAAGAAGCGACAGAACGAGTGAGTGTATGCCCCTAGGGTTGTTAGAACCCATCCGCTAATAAGTTCCAGAGCACAACAAAAAGAACAGGAAGCCGCCAACAAGTATGTTTCGTCATACCACCGCCGGCACCGCGAAGTCGCTGACCGAACATTAGGCGACGGAATCTAAACGACTCGGCATCAAAACTGTCTGACAAACGGACTGTAGCACGGACCCGACGCGATGCAAAGCATGCAGAGGCTGTTGAGAGAGGCCGGCTCGCATGTCTTCAACTTTGCGCAACGCTGCATACCACCCTACCTCGAGAACTGCGAGACATGGTGTACAGCGAAATCATCGGCCCATACTACCGCGAGATCGTCACCGGACACAAAGATCATAGAAGACACGTCATTCAGAGCACATCAATGGATTTCGTCAACCAGGAGATACGAGGCCTCAAGTCAACTGGACAGCGCGGTCTGAAATGGTGGCTCGACAGCTACATGGGCCGCGAAGTAGCCACCGAGATAGTCGAAAGCTGGTACGGCAGTCGGACGTTCTGCTTCAGTCACCGTAGGTTGAACCTGATCCCCGATTTCTTGGAACGCGACGTTTTCTCAAAAGGCCTCAAACCAGGCCTTATCGTCCAGCACATGCACGTTCACGTGGCCGAATACCAAACCAAGACTGGTTACTTCGATGAGCTACGAGGTACACTCGGCAAGATCGAGAACAAGGATGTCAACTTGCACATACGTCTTCACCACAAGACTAGCATGTCAGCTCGACGGCTGCAACTAGAGAGACTGGGTCCTGTTGTTTACCAGCTAAGAAGGGAGGGGCTGAGTCGCATTACTGTACAGAGTGCGGGTTGTTGCAAGGACTTCACGTCGCTGTTTGATGGGGAAGAAGGGCTGTTCATGGTTTGCCTGGTATGTTGCTGAAAGGTTCGGTTTGATGTCTTCTAATGCTGTGGCAGGAACGTTGGGCGTTGTCGGCAAATCCCAACATCTGAACAACCGCTGGGCTCGTGTACATTGTGCGCTGTATGTACACGGAGAAGGTGCAAGGGTCTTTATTAGAGAATTGTTACGCAGGCAGAACTTTGAGTAGCCTCATGGAATGAAAGCTGTGCATGATTTTATGATTCGTACAACTTTGATTATGTCTGCTGCAGCCTCGGTTGGCTGATACCCAGGTACGCGTCCGGACTAGCGTCGTGTTCCTTCGCGTTTTGTTGCCTGCAAGTTGATGACTCCGCCACAATTATCTTCTCGTCTTTGGGAATAAGAGGCGCTTGCACCCCTAGAATCGAAGATGAAAAATAGCTACGTCTTGTGCTTACCAATCCCAATAACTTCGCTTGGGACTGACAGTCTGTTTCATTAGCTACTGATCCGCAATGAAAATCGGTCATCATGACTCTTCACACGCACTGAAGCGGCGGATGTATGTTAAACGGTTCTAGTCTCGTGTATACCTAGGTAGTAATATACGACTGACTGCAAGTAGGAAATATCCACGTCGGAAACCTGATCCCAAACCTGATCCAGTCGAGTACGCTTCACCCACTCCACGTAAGAACATACGTCTAACCGAACAACAACAGCCCGACCCGCTTACTTGCGCTCCACAAAAAACATCGCCAATCCCAGCTCAACTTCTGTACAGCCTTCCGCGCAGCTCTCCCTCGCGAAGTGAGGGACATGGTCTACGACTATCTCATTCCTCCCCGCAGGCAACATTACGTTGTTGATTGTCGTGAGGTGGATACTGGAATACGCTCAAGTCGATATTTCCGCCACGACCGCGGTGGCCGGTCTTTCTTCGACGCTCAACCGCCTTTACCTGAAGACCCTGCGATGCGTCGCGATACTTGGAGGTACGCCGAGTACACGGGTGAAGCAGTCGCAAAAGAGATAGCAGAGCACTGGTACCGCACTAGCGGCTTCATAATGTACACCCCGGGTGCTTGCTTGCTGGGGATGTTCCTCACGCAAGATGTCTGGAAAAGAGGAGTCGTGCCTGCCAATATCATTCGATACATACGCATTGATCTCAGCTGGGATCAGATTTGGGGTGGCTCCGCGCGTGTTGTAGCTGATCTGGAAAACCTTTTCATGGTGACTAACAAAGAAATGGTAATCATCTTCCAGATAGATCATCATGCAGCTGATGGGGACTATTACCCCAAGCCCCCGCTGTGGCCTGTCCTGCGAAGTTTGTTGAAGGTGTTTGCGCCGGTTGTTTATCGTTTGCGCGCTGCTGGGTTTAGTAGGGTTAAGGTGTATCAGGGTGTTATTCGTAGGCTTTATGAGAAGTGGCCGTGGGATAGAAGTCATAGGGATATCACGAATTGGTTTGATCTGGAGGAGGAGGAGTTTCGGAAGGTGTTTTTGACGGTAGGTTGTGTTGTGCTGATGAAGTTGAGGATATGTGCTAATGTATGGGGTAGGAGAGTGGTGATGATGAGGAGAGTAAACAGCGTATCGCCGATGTCATATTGAATGGTAGTGGCTGAAGAATGTTGACAATGCTGGAGACGTAGAAGATTGAGTCGGATTTATTAAGAAAGGGATAGAGATGACAAGAAGTCGTAAAGACACATGTTATAGCTGTAGACTGGCGATGATTAGGATCATCTTGACTAAACACGTCAAAATCCAGTAGTTGGCTCCACTCTCGAAGAAACTTGCATACCCCAAGCGCTGACATGATCAATTATGTCATTTGATAGCCTTGCGAGACCTCCAAGCACGCTAAGATCAGAGCGTCTATGTACGGCGCGTCCTGAAGCATTCTTGACTTACACAGCTGCTTTTCATCTTCCGTTGCATGCTCGTGGAAGTTACAGCGATCTTTTATCTCGTTGCATAATGCATCCATTCCTTTGCCTTTGCTTGCAAGCTTGTGGTTGATTCGCACAACTTCTACTAAGAAATCTTGGGGCAGCGGTGTAGCCTCGAGTAGCGCTCGATAAGGGCCCCTGTAGTGGCCCCAATTCAGCGCAGCACTCTTGACGAAGTATTGACAGATGGTAGAAGAAGGAGGTAACTCTTCGAACATGAAAGCAATTGTTTCGGGGTCGGGAGCCAATCCATCTTTCGTAAGGTCGCTGAAGGCGCTGATAACGTCATTGCGCAATTTGACGCACTCGTATGCATCCGCAAAGCGATAGAGATGGAAGAGGCTGTTCAAAACATCGTTATTACAGTCAGAGTCAGCATCTGATCTGTTTTGATTTGTCTCTTCCATCATTGTACGCGTGTGAGCTGAGACATCAGCGTTCAAAGATCGGGTCATGCGCGCTGCAGGGCTTAACAGGGCTTTCACCTCACTAAGACCTGGAGGCGATCGAGTCGTTTGAAGGTAGACCCAAGTCTGAAAAAGGCGAAAAGTCGTCTTAGAGGTCTCGGGAAGATGCAAGACGCCATCTTTGCCTTCTTTGAAGTTGGGTCCGAATGCGCGAGAGAAGTACTCAGACTGCCGGCGGAGGAGTTTCTTGTGAAATGTGAAGGGTATTTTATTGGTGCCCACGGTCACACGTACCATTTCTTTGCCGAGATCCCTAATCTTGTCAGTAACTATAAGGACTAATTGAGGGGTTGCTCTACATGATGCGTGCCTTGGAATTGATTGAGAGGTGCTGCGGAATTTGAGCGGTTGAGAGGCAAAGTTGTCAGTTTCGGAGGTCGAGAAACCGAAGAACTGGAGCAGCGAAGATCTAGATCAAATGATCGTGGTGCGAAGGGAAGGCGCAGTAGCAGGAGGGTTCCACGGCCATGGCATCGTGAATGCGCGGTCCTGTGCTGCAGACGTTCAGTAATTCCCATGTACACACCGTATTCACTGTGCTCAGTCTTGCAGCTGCATGCAAAGTATTAGAGATCTACCTTTCATTGATGGTCTAGAGAAGTGGGGTTGTAGGATAAGGTCAATCGAGTGCCAAACGCGAACTCACATGACGCGACGCCAACGCCGGCTTATCTCCGCTCCATCGCCGAAGTCCAAGCTCCAAGCTTAGGCGTCACCACCGAGCAGGTGCGCCCACAGCTACAGTCGAAGCCGCAGCAGAGTGAGAAGTAGCACTGAGACAGCGGGTGATCGCGCAAACAATGACTACGAGCCCACGATAGCTGAGAGCTACATCCCAAGCCCACCATGGCTTACGACACCTCGAGCGGGTATGCGCCGCCCAGCACAAGCAACATGCAGGAGGACGCCTCGGGCCCCATGTTCAGCATAGAGCGCGTAGCTTTACAGTTCACAGTATCTTCCGACTTTGTAGCGGCTGCAGTAGCGAATAATGTCGTCGTCCTGGCTTTGTCCACCGGGCGCATCTTACGCATCGATTTGGACAGTCCCGCAGATATAGACGGTTCGTATAGCAATGCACACACCACACGAAAGATTTGGACAGCCGCTCATATATCTCAAGATATCGATCTTCCGAAGAAGCCTTCAGAAGTGGGTGTCATCAGACGCCTCTTTCTCGACCCCTCCGCATCCCACCTCATCATAACCACGACTCTCGCCGAAAACTACTACCTCCACACACAATCCCGGACACCGAAGGCGTTGTCACGGCTGAAGGGCGTTGTCATAGAGAGTATCTCGTGGAACCCCTCGCAACCCACTGCTTCGACGCGCGAGATACTCGTGGGAGCGTCAGACGGTAACGTTTACGAGGTGTATATCGAGCCGTCATCCGAGTTCTACAGGAGGGAGGAGAGGGTAACGTAGCTGCCACGGATAACTCTCAAAACATCTTGCTAACTTTTTACTAGTATGTATCTCTCATCCTATGCTTTGGCAACGCGGTTCTAAGACATCTTGTGATTCGTACTAACAGCTTGATAGATACTTGAAGAGCGTATACCGGACGAACGATGGCCCTATTACTGGACTGTGGACGGATACGGTGCCCGGGAGAACGGACCTGCGGCGCATCATCGTCGCGACACCTTCGACTTTCCTACATTTCGCTGGCAAAGTTGGACGTCAGGGATCAGAAGGAAGCGGATCTATATTCTCGAAGCTGTTTGAGAGCGAATCTGCGACCGTACATGAGGTCTCCAATGTCGCCCCCACGGCAGCCTCGCTGCTTGCCATCTCCCCGGAGAACAACGACAGCCCACACCGCGAGGACTCCAACGCCGAGAGGATCTTCGGCTGGCTTACTTCACAAGGCGTTTTGCATGGGAAGCTGTATCTATCACAGGATACTTCTGAGCTTGGCGGCAAAGTTCTTGGAGACTCAAAGATGTTGCCTAGATCACAGGTGCCACCTTCACAAACCGCTAGCGGGCGCACACGACGGACACAAGATCCTGTCAGTTCGATGATATTGAGCCAGTGGCATATTCTTCAGCTAGTCGAAGGCCGAGTCGTAGCTATCAACCGCCTCGACGACACTGTTGTCCATGACCAAGTTGTGCTGGAGTCCGGACAAAGTGCGCTTGGTCTGGTTGCTGACTGGAAGAGGAATACTTATTGGCTCTTCACGAGCCAGGAGATCTTCGAGATCGTTGTCGAAGACGAGAGTCGCGACGTTTGGAAAATCATGCTCCGAGCACAACAATTCGAGGCTGCATCGCAGTACGCCAAAACACCAGCGCAGAAAGATGCAGTGGCAACGGCATCTGGCGACTACCTTGTTGGCAAGAGCCAGTGGATGGAGGCTGCGACTGTTTACGGACGAAGTACGAAGCCGTTTGAGCAAGTCGCGCTGACATTCATCGACAATGGCGAGCAGGACGCGCTACGGAAGTACCTGGTGACGAAACTGTCCACATTGAAGAAGTCATCGATAATGCAACGGACCATGGTCGCTACTTGGTTGATTGAACTCTACATGGCCAAGCTCAATACTCTCGATGACACTATTACCACGAAAGCAGAACTCTCAGAGAGCATGAACACCGCCGAGACTCATGATCAACTATCAGTCATCCGGAAAGAGTATCAGGACTTTGTAACCAAGTACAAGGCTGATCTTGACCGTAAGACTGTATA